TCGATCGATGCACAGCTGAACAGGTAATTGAATTGGTTGGGCTTAAAGAATTAGCCTTTAAAAGCCAAAAAAAAAAAAAGAAACAAGTTGTTTGCTGTTGTTTTGCTGTTATCTTTTTGTTTCTCGGTAACCGGGCTTTGATATCAGCTCGGCATTTTTTGTCCTTTTTTTGCCCCCTTCTGTCATCTGTTAACTCCTAAGCTCGGCATTATCTATGACGTCTATCACTGTACTGTTTTCAGCTTCGACTTGCTACCGGTAGGTGTCAGCCAGGTCGTCAAACAAAAACAAAAGCAAACAACAAACAACAGGATTGCTCTCGGCGGCTGCGTTATGTGTGGGCGCAGATGACTAGCGACCGATTAACAGCAGCGTCTTCTGCTGTCGTTAGCAGATCCGAGGAAAGGGAAATAGGGCGAGTAGCCTCACAGTCCACGGAAAGGGGGGGAGCGAGAAGGCCGGGGTGGGTGTGGGCGTTGTGATGGGGGTGAGGGGCAGAGAAGAGTAGGGGAAGCGGCTTGGCCGGGCCGTCACTGCCAGTGGAGTTCGTTGGCACTGGACGACAGACGAGCCGCTCGAATATCCAGCGACAAGGACACATAAAAAGACGGAGCGATTGGGGGAGCGAGAGAATGTGTGTGTGTGTGTGTGTGTGTGTGTGGGTGCTTGCGCTAGTATCATTCCGTGCCTCCCGCCGTCCGAGAGAGAGAGAGAGAGAGAGAGAGAGAGAGAGAGAGAGAGAGAGAGAGAGAGAGAGAAAGAGAGAGAGAGAGGAGTGGAATGTGAACGTGCGGCATTCAGTGCCGTCCTCGGGCTTTGGTAGTGGAGTACTTAGACATAAAGAACACGCGCACTGCGAGTGCGTGCGCCGTTGAGCCCGCGAACGACCGTGCTGGAGAGAGAGAGAGAGAGAGAGAGAGAGAGAGAGAGAGAGAGAGAGAGAGAGAGAGAGTCGAAGAGACTGATGTATGATGAGAGAGAGAGAGAGAAAGAGCAGCAGAGCAGCGAAGCAAGTTGAATTGCTGTCGATCGCTGCCAACCGTTGATGCTGTAGAGCTGGAGCTGGTTGCTCGAGTAGTTTCTTCGTCCTTATTTAGTCGCTGGATATGTCGATTCTGTGAGCTTGACGGTTTCACGTGTATGGCCAGTGACAGCTGTCTCCGCGCTAACAGATTGGTACCATTCTTTCCCTCCTCTTCTCCTTCTCTTCTTCCTCCCTTGTCCATAACGTTGATTCCGTACCTCGCGGACTTAACCTTCAGCTCTTCCACCAGCTTGGGTAAAAGCCAGCTAGCTCAGCGGCTTTTTATCTTCATCCTTTCCTTTCTGCTTCCCGCGTGGTGGCAGACTTCAGATCTCCTCTCCCCGGGCAAATGTCAGCCGTGCATTCTCCTTGTCCTCCTCAATGTCCTCTCGTCCTTCTTCTGTTCCTTGTTAGTATTCACGCGGATTACATTAATGTCGAGTCATCGTTTGAATAGAGCACACTTTCCGGTGGCAGCATATTGAGATTGAGATCGTTCAAGGGTTTTTTGACGTAGCTCTAATTGCGACCACCCTATTTTCTCTGCTGTCCACACTCACACCCACACACACACACGCACACACACACACACGCGCACACACGCGCACACATATATGATGCTGCACCTCCTCGTTCTTCCGCTGTAAGCGAGTCTCCACGTTCTGGAGCGAAGGAAGCTGCGAGGGCAATAGCGTCTTCACGTAGCTTGGGGGTGAATCAAAGGACGGCCGTTCGGTACGGTTAGCTACCGTTAGCCGCCGTTAGCCATATCGTAACAGAGAATTGAAAGTTTTTTTTTTTTGAAAATTTTCGCCTTCAAATTGATCGAAAATGAGATAACCGCAATCGATAGGGGAGCGATTGCTTAAGTTGGAGAACGAGACGGTGAAGAGACCCTTGTCTCTCTTTTCGCGCACGCGGTCCCTCGTGTGCGGAGCGCATCTGCTTACGCCGCGAAGTGGAGGTGCTAACGTAACGGTGCTTGACGTGTGTGTGTTGGTTGACCCTCACGACACCACCGCTGCTCTCTTCACATTGTCATCGTCACAGACTGCCAGAGTTGTCATCATCACAGACTTCCAGAGTTGTCATCATCACAGAGTTCCGGACTTGTCATCATCACCACCGCGTCGCGCAGTCGTTGGGAGTGTGTGAGGCTGCGACTGTGAGTCGGGATCGTGCCTGATGGATTACGCACCCATCTCCATCTGCGGTGGAGGTAGCTTCGCAAAGCGCGCCAGTGTGGTTTCCAAGTGGCTCAGTGTCGGCGAGACTTTGCCTTATCAAGGAGAGATCGAGAGAGGCGACCCCCTTACTCGCGGCGGCGTTAATCGACTGGAGTGCCAATCAAAGACAGACTCTGAATCGGGTAATCATAGTTATAATCCAATTAGAGAGGAGGAGGAGTGCCAATCAAGGACAGACTCTGAATCGGGTAATCATAGTTATAATCGAAACAGAGGGGAGAAGAAGGTAGCGGGAAAAAGAGGGTTATCCCTAGGCTTGCGCGCATCAACATTGAGCAGGTGCGGCAGCGCGGGCGGCGTCTGCTGCTGGAGGTCATCATATCCGAGACGTAAGCGAGTTGAAGCTGACGTGACAGCTATGGAGGAGGATCGATCACCGAAGCGTGGTCGTGATTGCGCAGCAGATTCTGAGCAGGAGGAGGAGGATGGGGAGGCGGGGAAGGAGGAGGAGGAGCAGCAGCAGTTGCGCCCTGTGAAGCGCCTGCGCAAGACGACGAGCATGAAGGAAGAACAAGCTAAGGAGGAGAAGGGAGGGGAAGAGGGGGAGGTGGTTGTTGATAAGGAGAGGGCTTATGATCAAAGGAGACTTGCGTCCTCGGTTGGGGCAGTACACGTGGCAACATCACAGAGCGAGGAGGGTCCTGCTATGGAGCGCATGAGAAAGCGAATGAGATGTAGAGGGGATGCAGCGCGAGGGAGAGAAGAGGAGGAGGGTGAGGAGGGGGAGGAAGGGAACAAAGAGTCTGGACCAGATACAGATGAGGGTGCCTCAAAGCGCTTGCGAACGGACAAGTACGCGGCGATGGAGGGGGAGAAGGAGGTGGACATGGTGGAGGGGAAGGAGGAGGAGGAGGAGGGGGATCCCCCTCCCTCGACCGACATTAACTCCCTACCTGATTCTCTACTTGTGAACGTTTTATGCGCAATTGGTGATGCCAAGTCATTGTTCAAGTGCGCAGCTGTCTGCCGTCGATTCAATCAACTCGTTTGGAAGGTGAGAGCTGCCGCCATACCTTTTTTTTTGTTATTGGGGGGAAGAAGGGGGGGAGGGGGGGGGGGGGGGGCGGGGTATGTGTTTTGCCTTTATTTGTTCCCTTTTGTATCGGGAAAGTGTTGACGTTAATGGGCCTCGCTAGTGTGCAAAATGAGAATGAATCTTCCGCTAGAACATTGAAAGGTACACCGCCATTTTTTGTTTTTTATGACTAGTAGAGCGAGGCCCAATGTGTTGTTTGCTGACCTTTGCTCTTGTTCCCGAAATTAAAAATTGAGAGTTGATCCTTCTCCATGCGATCTTACATCCGAATGAGCATTCTTATCACCATCTTAATCATCATAATCATCATCATCATGACATCATCATCATCGTTATCTTCACCATCGTCATCATCATCATCATCATCATCATCATCATCATCATCATCATCTGGATTCGACATAATCATGATTGTGCCTTTGACGTACGTGCCTGACGCTCGCGGACTTAAAATTCTGATGCTGACGTGTCACCTGACACGGTATGCCGTGGTAAATGCATCCGGCGGTTATGACCGAGTGTTCGAGTCCGTGTGGCGCCAGTGGATTTTGTCCTGGCAAACATACTGAAGACGGTATTTTGAGAGCCGTGATAAAACGTGTCACCCCCCCCTGACACGTGTCACTGTGTCACACGGTGACACGTTAGTCGTGAAGTGACGTCAGCAATGCGTGCGCGTAGAGGAATGCGTGCGCGTTTTCCGACCATGTGTACACGCTGATGCTTTTTGAAATATACTGATTTGATTTGCGTGTAAAGGGCAACAATTGGCCATGATTGCTTGTCTTCTATTTAGACTCTGACGTGGTCTATCGCCCACGTGACATTTCAAATCTGACCGTAGATAACAGACCGTAGATAACAGACGACGTTAAGTGGCCTATCACGCTCACGCTCACGCTCACGGTCGCATGTGCCAAATCTTATGTTGTCGCATCTCAGAGCTCGAGTGTCTGACCGCTTGCTCAGGGAATTGAACCGTATGCATTTCAGTCGAGTAGAAGATCGAATACCGTGAATGCACGTTGTTAGAGGTGGGAGGAAGCCCTCTCTTTTACCGGCGTATCAGGTCTGGCATTTTTCATCAGCTTCCAATTTTAAAGAGAGAGGAAGTATCATTCTTCAGCAGTCATTGACTGATCGAATTTCTCATCGGTTTTGCACTTTCGTTATTCTCTCTCTCTCTCTCTCTCTCTCTCTCTCTCTCTCTCTCTCTCTCTCTCTCACACACACACACACACACACACACACCCACACCCACACACACACACACAGAGACGGCGTGTCACACGCACGGACACACATACGTGCCCTCTTTCTCTCTCTCTCACATACACACACAGACAGACGTCCGACGGAACAGTGTGTCACAGTCATGCCTGTTTCTGGAGGTGTGTATAATGAGCATCACACACACACACACACACACACACACGTACGCACACACACGCACGCACGCACGCACGCACGCACGCACACAAATAAACAAAACAAACGAAGGATCGGTTCACGCTCACACAGACACAGCCACACTGCGTCGATGCAAATCAAGGCATCCTGCGGATTGGAATAAGTAGGTCCGTTATGCAAGCAACGACCATCAATACAACTCTAGTGTATTCGAGAGCATTCGGGTCTCACTTCGCTACTCTCCAAATGAGAGAGGGGAAAATGGATCTTCGGCTAGAACATGGGAAGATACACAGCCATTTTGTCTTTTGTGCATGTCGAGAGTAGTGGAGCGAGGCCCTTCATGATGGTTGGGCAGCCCTCCTTCAGGAGGATTGCATCTCTCCTCCTCCACAAGCAGGCTTTGACGTCGACCTGATTGAAAGCCACCTGACGAAATGGACTCGGACAAAGTGAAACATAATACCAACAATTCACTTCCCTAGAGTGCCGCGCGCGCGCGCGCGCGCGAGAGAGAGAGAGAGAGAGAGAGAGAGAGAGAGAGAGAGAGAGAGAGAGAGAGAGAGATTGATTTAGACTAGTCCCCTGCCCACAGCCAGTTCATCGTCGGCTGGAAGTAAAGAGCGTTGCAGCTGCCAGTGACTGAAACCGGTCAATTGTAAATTGGGAAATCGTAACTGGATTTCGAATGCCTCGACATGTCTTTGCGATCCTTTTTTTTTTTTTTTTTTTTTTTCCCAAAAAAAAACAAAATCACGTCTATGCGATGTTTTTAGGGGAAGAGAGCCGTTTGTGGTGAATGTTGTTTTTTCTGCTGGCTGTTTTTACTCTTATCCGCGAACCATTTGTTACGTTTTTTATGGGTTAACGGTGGGGTGTTTGAACTGCACCAACCGGGGCCTAGGTCCCACTTGCACGGATTAAGAGATACTGACCGTAGATACCAAATATCAACGGCCGAAATCTCCTAATCCGTGCAACTGGGACCTTGCCCCGGGCCAGCTAACCGTTACTGCAGCCTCTGTTTGTGTGAGCCGTTTGTTACCGTTAAAAAAAAAAAAAAACCCGGTTTTGTTGAGTGTTCTCATAAGTGAGCCCTTGGCACAAACTGCTTCTCCTTATGGCAAAAAACAGTTTGCAATCCGGGTTTTGTTTTTAATAAATGTCGATCCTTTTTCTGGAAAAAAAGAGAGACCGTTTGCACCCACTGTGTGTGTGTGTGTGTGTTCGAACCGTTTGGTAAACCGCTCGTGCGTTTGCGTTTTTTTTTGTTTTTTTTGGTGGAAAGATTGTAAGCTTTACTTTGCGCTGTTTTTTTTTTTTTCTTGGTTCAGAAAAGAAAAAGAAACGTCGTGCGTTTTCACGAACCAGTTTGTTTGCGCTTTGACCTTCTGTAGAGTCAGGGCAGACTCACACACTACCGGTAGGACTGAAACTTGTTTCTGGATGTAATGGCGGTCCGATACATCCAGGTTCGGCCGTAAATGGGGTCAGATGCATTTCGATACATCTATAAGATAGACCTCTATGTGTGAGCGTGTGTACGCCGAGAGGTTTTTGCGACCTACCTTCACGGCAAGTGATTGTGCAGTCATATCTGCTAATGCTGTGTTTTTTTTTTTTTTTTTTTTTTTTTGTTGTTGTTGACTCTTGAGAATGACGGTTATTAGCGTACGCTTATTAGCGTACGCTTATTAGCGTACGCTTGTGTGACCAAATACAAAAAGAAGAGACAAAAGAAGAGGACCCCTCTGCGAAGGGTGATGACGACATGCCCTTTTTTTTTTTTGCGTGTGTGTGCGATTGTGTCAACCGGCCGGGGGCAAGGTCCCACCACTTGCACGGATGAAGAGATTCTAGCCGTTGATCGTTGCTATCCTATCTACGATCAATATCGCTTTATAAATCGTGTAAGTGGGACCTAGCCCGGGGCGGGTAGAGACCCGGAACTCAACTTACCGTCCGCCTCAGGATTCGAAGCAATACCTGTGACGAAGACGTCCATGGGCCGCAGAGACTCGAAGAGATCAGCAAGCGCTAACACGACAAAGACTTACTAGTAGAGACGCTAGTAATCGTTTTTCATCTATCTCATCTGTTTGTGACACGTGTCGTATTGCTGAGCTGAGTGTGTGCGTTCGAATTATTAAAGCAAAATATAGATTTGTTTGATTGATTAGTCGCGGGCTCGTTGATTGGTGTTGTTCATTCATGTTGTGGTTCAGGTCATTGACTGGTGGTGTTCATTCATTCATGTTGTTGTGTTTCCTGTGTCCGTTTTGCGCGGCGTGCGCGCTTGTTGATCGTATCGTACCACTTGTACGGGCGTTGATCGTATCGTACGACTTGTACGGACGTTGATCGTATCGTACCACTTGTACGGACGGCTGCTGTGTTGATTGGTGGTGTTCATTCATGTTGTGGTTCAGGTCATTGACTGGTGGTGTTCATTCATTCATTCATGTTGTTGTGTTTCTTGTGTCCTTTTGCGCGGCGGTTCTTTTTGTGAATTGTCTGTTTTTGCAGGTTCCTGAGCTCTCTTTCAAGGTCGAGTGTTCGAGGCGCGCGTTGGAAGAGGATTACAGCGAGCCAATCACTGAGGCGATCCGGCGGACGGCAGATCTTCGAGTCCTGAACGTGAAGTTCTGCGAGCTCGTGGTCTGCCGTGCGGAAGTGGTGCAGGCCTGGCTCCGCCACGTGTCCAACCACCTCACCCATTTCTCTCTCGTCGTCAGCCCCAGCTGCAACGTGGAGAGAGGCATTCTCCATCACGTCTTCTACTGTGCCCTTAACTACTGCCGCAATCTTCGTCATTTGGAGGTGGACCTCAGATTGCAAATGCAGACCGTCGATCTGAAATCGCTGCTCAAACATCAGCCGCTCGAAAGCCTCGAGTACCTCAGCATTACGCGTGTCGATTTCAGCAAAGACCCCGACTTTGTCCGTTCTCTTCTCACGCTCTTTCCTAATTTGAAGACCCTCAAATTGAGCGGCATCAAGGGTCCCAAGGAGGTCATTCTGGAATCTCCTCTGCTGGAGGTGTTTGAGCTGGAGGGCTCTCGACGACGCGGTCGGTATCTCGACGGCTGGGTGGACAGGGTCGTCATTGACGCCCCCTGTCTGCAGGAGCTGGTCTTACGAAGCGTCAAGAGCTTTCGAATAGAATCCTCCCCTGGTCCCAAAAAGCTGGAACTGTACACGTGTCTCGACAAAAGCTTTCCTGATTGGTCTAATCGGCTATCAACCTTATCCGTTGTGAATTCCGCCGGCCCTTCGGCTTATCCATGCTCGTCTTCTTCTGCTTCCTATTTTGGCGATGGCGGCGGCTATGGCGGGGCGCGAGTCGACGAGGCGGGCCAGGTGCTGTCTGCATCGGATATAGCGTCGATGATCTCCTCTCACAGACGGAGCTTGACCTCCTTGAGCGTCGACATGGCGGTCTCTCCGATGGCCACGTCAGAGGAGAAGGCAACGTTTTTGGAAGCTTTCTGCTCTTCTTATCCGTGTTTAAAAAGTTTGTCGTTTTCTAGTCCCGGGTTCATGGACCTGGTGGAGGGCTGCTTGGAGGTTCTCGCCCTGGATTCTGTCGACGGCGCAGATGAGCTCGGCGGCGGTGCGATCATCGATCGAGATCCCAATTCTAAGCCTCAACCTGCTAAGGAAGTAGGAGGAGTCGCGGCCGCCGCCATAGCCACGAGCTCGAGGGCCGCCATTGGCATCTCTTCGTCTCCGCTTTCTCTCTCCTCCGCTGTCGTGGAGAATGCCGGCCGCGCATGCGGAGAAACCGAGCAGACACATGGCGATGTCGATCGTCTCAGGGACAGCGGGGAATGTTCCTACACTACCCATCATCCTCCCCCTCCTTCTTCTTCGTCATGTCCTCTTCATCATCAGAGTGCGGCTGCTGCCGCCATAGCCGGCGGCGGGCTCCGAGCTTGCACCCAAGCGGGATTGGCTTCGTCTTCGCCGTCGAGTCCTCCTGCTTCGTTGCAGAGAGCGGTCTTCCCTTCCTTCTCCTCGCTCTTCCCTCCTGCCTCGTCTTCTGCTTCTCCTGCTGCCGCTGGCGCTGGCGCTGGCGATGGATATGGCGCACACCTCTCCGACCACGGCAACGACAGCAATCATAACCGTAGCCGTAGCAGCAGCCATAGATATCACAGCTCCAGCGGTAATGGCGGTGTTTCTGTGGCGTCGATTCCACGTGAAGGAGGAGGAGGAGGAGGAGGAGAAAGAGGAAGAAACGACAGGAATGAAGAAGAAGAAGAAGAAGGCGGAGCTCGGTCAGCAGCGGCGATTGCGTATGCTGCATTGCTGAGCTGGATTAACGCTCCCGATTTGGAAAGTCTGTCCTTGGTCGTCGGACGAGGGTCGATCGCAACCGTCCACGTGATTCGTCAATTTCTGGAGACGTGCCCAAGATTGAGGGCGGTGCATTTAACCATCTGTGATGCCGACGGCTCCGCTCCCGCGTTTTTCGAGCAAATTGCCCAGCTGCGCGCCGAGTGCATAGATAATGTCGAGGTGGTGGTGAGCACGAGTACTAAACGATTCGGGGCCAGAAGATATAATTAGTTTTTTTTTTTTTTTTTTTTTTTTTTTTGGTGTGTTTACGAGGTTTTTTTTTTAGCGTAAATGAAATGAATAAAGACGATTGAATTTTGGGTTCAGTCTGCAGTAGCGTAACGAAGAAGGGGGAGGGAGAAGGGGTGAGAGAGAAAAGCGCCTTGGACACGATAGCGATCAATGAGAAAGAACGAGTGCGCGCGAGCGTCATCAGTCTGCAGAGGGGTATGTAGCTGGTTTTTTTTTTTTTTTTTTTTTTTTTTTTTGGGAATATCGACCATTTCTTCGATTCATGCGTGTCATCAATCAATCCTTAATTGCGCAGGGGCCATGCTAATGCTAATCTTCTTTCTTTCTTTCTTTCTGTATCGGTCCAATCATCTTAACGGGATATCTATCTTCGAGGGACTGGACTGAGAGATGGTTACGCAACTGAACAGCAGGCAGGCGGGAAACTGCGGCTGCTGACAATTTTGGAGAATTCGCTTTCTGTTAGCGAGCATAGTAGAGTGTGCAGCACTTAGAGACGGGGAATGTGCGGCACGTAGGTGTGGAATGTGCGGCGACTAAGAAGAGGCCATGGCGGCATTCGGTCCAGCTGCAGCCATGGCGGCGTGCGACAATAATTTTCGGAAACTGCGGATATGCTGACAATAATTTTCGCGAATTTTCTGCTCTGCGTGAGCGAAGTAGAGTGTGCGGCACTTAGAGACGGGGAAGGGAATGTTCGGCACGTAGGTGTGGAATGTGCGGCGACTAAGAAGACGCCATGATGGCGCCATTCGGTCAAGCTGCAGCTATGGCGGCGTGCCGTGTTCGGCAATACCGACATCGTTTCGACGACTTATGTACTTACGTAAACCCCGTGGAGGCTAAGTTCTCGGCTATGGCCACCATAATGGGGAACGAGCATAGAAGAGTGTGCGGCGCTTAGAGACGTCGGGGAATGTGCGGCACCCAAGAAAAGGAAATGGCGACGTTCGGTCAAGCTGCAGTCAAGCTGCAGCTATGGCGCCGTGCGATGTTCGGCAAAACCGACGGCGTTTCGACCACTTACTGATTTACGCAGACACCGTGAAGGAGAATAAGTTCTCAGCTATGGTGAACGAGGCGGCGGTGGCGACAGCCGCGCGGGTGGTTCAGCTGCAGTAGGACCGCGCTATGGCGTCATGCGACATGCTCGTTGTCTTCTCTGTCCGAGAGAGAGACTTAGAGAGAGAGTAGACGAGAGATTAGAGTCACGGAGTAAGCAGTTGCTTCTGAAGTGATTTGAAGAGGAAGAGGGAGGGGGAGAGGAACGAAGAGGGAGAGGGAGAGGGAGAGAAGAGGGCGAGGAAAAGGGAGCGGGGTAGGAAGAGGGCGAGGAAGAGGGCGGAACGAGGAGGGAGAGAGAGAGGAACGAAGAGGGAGAGGGAGAGGAACGAAGAGGGAGAGGGCGAGGAAGAGGGCGAAGAAGAGGGCGAGGAAGAGGGCGAGGAAGAGGGCGAGGAAGAGGGCGAGGAAGATGGAGAGGGAGAGGGAGAGGAAGAGTAAGAGGAAGGAGGTAAATTGTCAGGATCCATTTTACGGTGAGGCTCATGTAGTAAAATAGAATGCATGGCACCCGCCATAACTAGAGCTTTCAACTTCAAGATTTCGGCTGAGTGCCCAACGGCCCGTGTTTTATTACTTTGGTTCACATCTCTCTCTCTCTCTCTCTCTCTCTCTCTCTCTTTTATGGCAGGAGGTAGGAAAGAGGATAGGCGGGAATCATAGATTGATTTTTACCATTATTCGCTCTCATGGTAAAATTTAGAGTCTCGAAATTTCAGTAGCCGATTAGGACGGGTAATATTAGGGCAGTAACGACCACAACGGGGGTGGGAATGTAGTCAAGGTTTTCGGGTAGATTCTTAATTCAATCAGATTCTCTGGAGTAGATTCCATGAAACAGTTCGACGATTGTATCATTCTTTGTCTGTGGAGGAGATCCATCAGCTGGCAGTCCCCTGCGGGTGACTGATCATTTGTTGTTGTACAATTGGTACCGTTGTCTTCAGCATGACAGACAGACCACCTAATATCACGAAATCAAATTTTCCGTCTACCAAATCGAGAAAGAAAATCTGTCCAACTATGGTAGTTCGACTTGCTCTTCTTCTTTACCTTTCTTCCTTATCACCTCTCTCTCTCTCTCTGTGTGTGTGTGTGTGTGTGTGTGTGTGTGTGGTGTGCGTGCAGTCTGTGTGTGTGTGCCACAGTGGATGTGTAAAAAAGAATCAGTTTTTGGTCCCTTTTTTTTTAGGGGTGGGTGGGTGGGTGGGTGTGGGTGCGTGGTGTGAGCATGATCCATCGTCTATTCTCGAGTGGAGCCTGAAGTCATTCTGAGACTCTTACTGTGTTGAATTGAATGTAAGTCCTTAGCGATTGTTGATTGAATGGAGTCTCAATAATAGAATAGAATAGTCAATATTAAGGAGTCGAATCCAGCTGAAACTCGATGGGACGAATGAATGCCGAGTATGTGGTCTGGTTCAATGAATGAATGCCAATTGCGACCCGTGCTTTTTTTCTTTTCTTTTTTTTCCCCTCTTCTAAGGAAATAAATCAATTGTATTGATCGAAAAAGTTCGAGGTCCCCGGCCTCTCCTTAGTTTTTTTTTTTAATATCTGGTTGATAAAAAAAAAAAAGTCCGAGGCCCGGTACCTCCTCACATCGGCTCACAATTCATCCCCGTGTTATCCTTGGGAGCATTATCATTACTCAGTTTCGCTTTGACAGACTCTTATTATAATACTTTCGATGAATTCATTCATTCCATGGACTGGAATTTCATTTTCATTTCAGTCGGGCCTACGGGTAGTGACGAGTTATATTTATTTAGGAAATGAGGACAATATGTAGGCATTGTAGGGAACGTTTTTTTTTTTTTGGTTTCCTTCCCTTCAACAAATGTTTTTTTTTTTTTTTTTTTGGTTCTTTCTTTCTTTTACTAAATATCAAAAAGGACTAAGGACTGTAATAGTATAGATTTATTTGGTGTTGTTCTTCTCCCCCACTCCTTTGTACTACTTTTTATAACAGGGGAGGGGCTCCACCTCACAGATTAGGCTTGGAGGCCTTGCGGCCTCTGAATATGTCTCTCTCTTTATGTCAGCTGGTTTGTACTGCCTTGGGCACTGGGCCCTTATGAAAAGGAAAAAAGAAAAGAAGCAAAAAAAAAAAAA